AACAGCCAAGGTTAGTTCCACCAGTCTGGTATTTTTAATTACTGTGTGCCATGTAGCTAAATCTTTGGCAAAGACCAATTGTTCTCAGATAAACCTTACCTAGACATATATTTCTTGATCTGCTATGTATAATTTGTCAGTAGGGTATAGGAGTAATATGGTTCCCTCTGTTTTTCAAAACTAGCTAGGCATTGTTTATCTCTCGCATTGTCTCACCCCTCCATCATGGTTTTCCCACTTGAGGTACCCCCATTTCCCCCCTTTCTCCCTACTAATAACCCTTCTCCAATTTCACAAGAGTCCATATGTACAACTAAAGGCTACAAACAACAATGCCAGACAGGTGTATCATACCTTCTTTTGAGTTGTTGGCCAGGGTGGCCAAAGGGATTCCCGGATAGTAAGTAGCCCAGCATAGAACTGGGAAAATGAACAGCAGACCCCAATCTGATCCAAAGGAATATTGACAACTGATTACCGCTAGATGAGGAACAGATGACCCTCCTAAAACAAAGACCTCTAGATAGGCTGACTAGATTCACCAGAAGGGCAAGTAGTGGGAAATGGCTGGGGGCGTCAACAACACAGCAGACAGTAGCAGGAATATCAGAGTATAAGGGCTCTAGTGGGGGGAGGGAGGCTATGGGAAGGTGCTATCTGGGAAGTGGGTGTAAAAATTAATTTTTTTAAAAATAAAAAAGTGTAATAATTCTTCAAAACACAAAAATTTACTCCTTAATAATTGGTGAATGTGAAAAACATTACCATTACCATTGAAGTCTACCTGATGACTTTATATCCATGCTCAGATGCCAAGGAGCTCAGAAAGTAACCGACTGTGACTAGTAATAATCAGATATATAAAGATTAGAAATGCATGTGCATCTTAGTGTCAATTGTATTGAAAATGAATTTTTCTGTATGAAACTGTATTTTAATAGTGAAATCTTTTTTAAAGTTTAAAACCTCATTTAATTTTATGTCTTATAGGGTTTATACTGAGTACAATATTTTACAATGGTATTAATTCAACTCTAAACCTAAAAATTTACAGCCAATTTGGAAGAGATGCATCTTAGCTCTGGAAATTGTTACTGAATATGTCAATGCTGTTGTAATGAAATGCTTCTTCTGATTGTGTGGTTATTAAATAAATAATAAAAAATAGTATTTTTTTAAATGCAAAAAAAAAAAATGGTGGCCTGGACACTTGACCTCCAGTTCCACTTTACGAATCACAGCTGAAAAGCCCCTTCCTCAATGAGGTCTTCACCTTATAAAGCCAGGAAGGACCCTCTGTCTTCCACCTCTCCACTTCTTCCCTGGACTTGCACAATTAAAAGTTAGGTAAGGGGGCTGGAGAGATGGTTCATAGGTTAAGAATACATACTGCTCTTGCAGGGGACCTGAGTTCGGTTCCCAAGATACATGTTGGGTGGCTCATAACCACCTCTAACTCCAGCTCCAGGAGATTTGACACCTTTGGCCTCTGTGGGCACCTGCATAAAACCACATGCCCATATACACTATACACACATAACCATAGTTAAAAATAAATCTGGGGGGAAGGGGGAAGGCTGACCTGCTCCTTGGCTCACAGGCTCCATGAACACAGGTGTGCCCACCTTGTTTACCACTGCATCTATCCTCACAACCTTGCTGTGTGTGGTGGGCTCACTTTCCCTTAACAAGCAGAAAATCCCCAACAGAGACCTTACTGGGCTCTCTCAGAGAGGACCAGGTAAATGCCCATCTACAGAAGCTCTTCCCAGCAATTCCATACTACAACGGCTGTGCAGTGAACCGAGGCTACAAAAGTTCCATGGTAATGCAGTCCCCTTCCTCTTCCCATGCTTTCATGTGTGTGTGTGTGTGTGTGTGTGTCCTAGAGTTTCAAGACCAGCCTGGGCTATACAAGAAGACTGTCGCAGAAGAAAAAAGGCGATTTCATAAAGTAGCCAAATTAGCTTGTGGGAAAGCAGAGCAGCATGAATGCACTGCTTGAACCAATCTTAGAAGTAGGCATATGGTAGACCGGTTTTTTGGGGTTTTTTTTTTTTTTTTTGAGACAAGGTCTATACGTTTGATTATTAGATATTGGCTAGTCTAGTTTCATGTAAACTAGCTCCAGCTAACTCTGCTGAGTAGATGCTAACCAGAGATTGGACCTAGAACAGCACCTTCTAGATTTCCGCAGGATCCCTTCCCTACGCTATCAGCCTCATCCAGCGTCATCGTGATACACCCAGAGCTTTTCTGTTCAGTCTTTTCATCTCCCACTTCACTCAAAATTTAACTGATTTTTCCACTCCTTGTAAGAATATTCTCCAAAACTAAGTCCAAAGCTATTCAGGAAGAGACTAAATCAGGTTTGCAAAATCTTTTCAAACGGGATTTTTGCTTAGCACAGGCTGGCCTCAAACTTCTGATCCTGCTTTTCCCGTGTGCTAAGACTCATGCATGCACAACCATGCCTGGCTTTTTAAGTATTATGATCCCCGACTCCCAAATTATAAGATGCATCTAAAATTCATGCATTACAGTTTACAACATCTCTGGCCTTAATAGCATGAACACTACTAGGCAAGGAAAAAAGAAGCAACCAGCAAAAGTAGAAGGTCGCTAAAGCTGCAAGACATACAATGACACACTTCCCCAAGACTTCGATTTTTCACTATTTTCTTGAAAAATCAGAAATCTTTTATTTGTATTGTTTGAAACGCCCTCGTCGACCCAGGATGGGCAGAAACAACAGCTCAACAGTGTCTTCCAAGATGATTTAACTTGTCGCTAACTTGTGTTAGGAAAAACAGGGTCCGGTGCAGCTATAAAGGAACGCTCCAAAAGAAGAGTAAAACTTTTCAGGAGAGCGAGAAGCAAATGCAGATGGCAGGGCCGCCAGAGCGAAGTTTCAGAAAGCCCCGGGCGGAGCAGCCGAGACCCCGCAGTTCCAACAGGCACCCAACGGCTCCGTCTCTGGTTTCCGCGGGTCACAAAAGGATAACGGACAGAGTTACAACGGTGGTCCCTAGGCTGCGCGCGCCGCTTCCGCCGGTCGCGGTCGCCCAACCGCCCGCTCCGCCCTCCGCTCACCCGCCGAACGCAGGAATCCAGAGCAAACGCCGCCAGCCTAAAAAAAAAACCAAGCACAGGCGTTCTCGTCGGAGCAGACTTTATTGCGGCGACCCGGCCACCAAACGTGCTGCAGCCGCCGCCCGAACGCCCCGCTGATACCGCAGCAGCCGCCCGCCGCTCCCTCCCTTCTCCCCAGCCTCTTGTTACCGTGCGCCGGCGTCACGCGGACCGCTCGCCTGCTCCCGAGGCGGACGCCGCAGCATTGACGCCCAGCTTTTCACAGCAGCCCGAACCCCAGGCGGCGGTTTTGTTGCTGCTGCACCGCCCCGGGCAGGGGCCGCGCGACGCGGAACGCCGGGAGGCGACTGTGGCGGCGGCGGCGCGGAGCTGACGTCACGCGCCGAGGGCCAGCCAGCGCGCGTGAGGGTCGCCCCGCCCCCGGCCCCAGCGGCCCCAATCCGGGAGGAGCCCGGGCGGGCGGGCGGGGCCTCGGCGCCGAGCCGGGCCGTCCGATTGGCCGAGAGGGAGGAGCGAGGGCGCGGGCCAGCTAGTGGCAGCCAGGCGGGGCGGGCTCAGCCCAGCGCGGAAGTCTCGCGAGGCCCAGCCCGAGTGGAGTGTGGCGGCGGCGACGGCGGCGAGATCTGGGCTCGGGCAGAGTAGTTGGTATTTGTGTGAAGGAGGCGGAGGCGCAGGAGGAAGGAGGACGCGGCGCGCCGGCCCGGAGGGCGGGAGGAGGCGCGG